GGCCTGAGGGGCGCGGGTTTCCGACCAGAGACTCGGTTTAGAGGAGCGGGCGAGGGGCAGCTGCCCGGAGCAGAGCCCCGGCGCCCGGTGGGACCAGGGTGTGTGACGGACCCGCCGATCCAACCGATGTGAAAAGTGTAAAGGACGCAACAGCCGTCCGTCTTGTACCACGGTGCCTCGGTGTCCCGGGGAGCGGGCGACCCTGAGTCAGGCGGCGGGGGAAAGAGGGACTGTCCCTGTGATCAGTCCCCGTGGGGAAGGCTCGGGGCACACGGAGCCGCCGCTGCAGCTGAGCGCTGGGCGAGGTGGCTGGCTCAGATCACGCCCCAGCGGAGGGTCGTGGGGACAGGCCCAGATGCCTGGATTTCACCTCCTCCTCTAAGAGGAAGGTCGTGGTATTCACACCCGAACAATAAGTTCATGTTTTCTGGGCTTCCGCTGAGGGTAGAAATACACTTTTGCAAAAGTCACTATAATGAATGACACAGACATAACAAGAACAACTTCATCTAACCCACACGCCACGGCGAGGACGGCCGTGCCTGCGAGGTGGGACTTCATGCTGGTCCCCGGGGCTCAGTTCATCGGGCACCTCATTGCACGCCTTTGCCACATTCATGGACTTACACAGAAGCCGCCTGTGTTGCATGAGCAGACGTGAACCCGGCTTCCACGGTTTCTGGGTCCGTGTAGCCGTGAGCTGCCTGCGGATACGCGTCCAGTGTTGAGGGCACACTGTGTCCGGATGGTTCTCAGCGTGACTTTCTGTTAAAGCAAGAGGACTTAGGTGCCTACTCCATGCTCATCACAAACAGCGCCCTGCGTTCCTCAGCCTCTGGCTGTGGGAGCAGGGACGGTAGGGACAGTGCCGCTCTGGGTGGGGCCCTCCGCCCTGGTAGGTTCAGCACCAAGAACAGCGGCAGCAGCGACAGGGAGGAAGTTGCAGAGCCAGCGCCAGGAGAGAAGCCCAGCCAGGGCTGCAGGCTGCCGGGCCCAGAGCGTCCGTCCATCTGTCCCCGAGCAAGGCCCGCGCCCAGAGAGCCCAGCCGTTTCTTGCAGGTTATCACCAGCGGACAGACCACTATCTGTGTGCTGTCCCAGAGGTCAACTCTGGTCCTTGGTGGGAGGGCACAACGTGAACGCTTTTAACCTCCTATTTCCTTCGTGTGAGAACCGACACTGGAGAGCTCTGCCCATGCGTGCAACCGGCACACGCCACGGACGCCCGCGTGTCCTCTCGGGCCCACGCATCCCGAGGCAGGCAGCCTCTACTCTGAAGGAGTGACGAGCAGTGTGGACCCCGGCTGCTGTCTGCCACAGTCTGGCCGGGCTACAGACCCAGAGCCAGGACACCCCCGCCACAGCCTCAGCCAGTGACGTCACACACGCAGCTGCTGCCATAGAGCCAGGACACGCCCACCACGGCCTCAGCCAGCGACATCACACATGCAGCTGCTGCCATACAGCCAGGACACGCCCACCACGGCCTCAGCCAGCGACATCACACACGCAGCTGCTGCCATAGAGCCAGGACACCCCCGCCACAGCCTCAGCCAGTGACATCACACACGCAGCTGCTGCCATACAGCCAGGACACGCCCACCACGGCCTCAGCCAGCGACGTCACACACGCAGCTGCTGCCATACAGCCAGGACACGCCTACCACGGCCTCAGCCAGCGACATCACACACGCAGCTGCTGCCATAGAGCCAGGACACCCCCGCCACAGCCTCAGCCAGTGACATCACACACGCAGCTGCTGCCATACAGCCAGGACACGCCCGCCACAGCCTCAGCCAGTGACGTCACACACGCAGCTGCTGCCATAGAGCCAGGACACGCCCGCCACAGCCTCGGCCAGTGACGTCACACACGCAGCTGCTGCCATACAGCCAGGACACGCCCACCACGGCCTCAGCCAGCGACATCACACACACAGCTGCTGCCATAGAGCCAGGACACCCCCGCCACAGCCTCAGCCAGTGACATCACACACGCAGCTGCTGCCATAGAGCCAGGACACGCCCACCACGGCCTCAGCCAGTGACGTCACACACGCAGCTGCTGCCATAGAGCCAGGACACCCCCGCCACAGCCTCAGCCAGTGACGTCACACACGCAGCTGCTGCCATAGAGCCAGGACACGCCCACCACGGCCTCGGCCAGTGACGTCACACACGCAGCTGCTGCCATAGAGCCAGGACACGCCACCACGGCCTCGGCCAGTGACGTCACACACGCAGCTGCTGCCATAGAGCCAGGACACGCCCACCACGGCCTCGGCCAGTGACGTCACAAACGCAGCTGCTGCCATAGAGCCAGGACACGCCCACCACGGCCTCAGTCAGCGACATCACACACGCAGATGCTGCCACGTTGTGGTTGGGGGAAGTTACAGCCCCAAACAGCATTGGCGTGTACTTCCCTGGGGCCAAAAAGTTTTTAGACTTAGATATTTTTAGATCTTAAAAAGGTTATGCAATTTTTATATGTGAGCTCTGAAATATCTCCAGGAGTGTCCATGCCCTGTCATTTTAAAATATGTGTATAGTAACTGCAGAGAGAAGCCTGACTGGCCACACCAAGTTGGATAAATATAGACTAGGAACAGTGTCATAAGTCGCTGGCAGTTTTGCCATAAATGAAATGTTACACCACATTTAGAGAAAAGAATTAAAACTGTGTTTTCAGCATCTTTTGGATTTGAGAATTTCATTTTAATTTTTATTGCCTATTACATTGGCCTAGGGGTCAGAAAAGGTTTATGCTTTTAAATTGGGTGATAAAGTAAGATTTTAAAAAATGCTTTTGCAGTGTAGCAGCAGCTGAATTGATGTGAACGGCGATGCTGTTAGACCTGACCCTGTGGTGCAATTGAAGGCCATGTGCTCGCTGCAGTAACGGCCAAGACTCACTCTCTCCTGCTGAGAATGGCTTCAGGCTGGTGCATACGTGCACCGCCTGTGTGTGTGTGTGTGTGTGTGTGTGTGTGTGTGTGTTTACATGTACACAATGCATTTATTTGTTGTGAACCAACAGAGGGCCTAGCAGAAGGCGGTGGTCCTCCTGGTGACCTTGGCGGTGGCCGTGGTGGATGGGCAGCAAGTGACCGCCTGCAAACCACAGCTCTGCATCTTGGGAGCGACACCGCTGGGCTCGGCCTGCCGCCGTGAGGCTGTATTAACGCCTTATTAAGAGAAAACAAACTTACCATTGAGCATCACAGACTCATTTACTGCTGAGGTTCCATCTGTTTAAGGTCTACTCTAACCCCATTTTCCCACTGGCGTTCAGTTGGCAACGTCTGCAAGCACTGTGCGATCCAATGAGTTCGGAGTCGTTTTGTATCCAAACCTGTATCATTATTCCTGGATTTTTATTTTGCTGTTGTTGTTATTCATCTTCCCTAGAGGATATTGTTCCATTGATTTTTTTTTCTTTTAGAGAGTGGGAGGGAAGGGGAGGGAGGGAGAGAGAGAGAGAAAGAGAGAGGGAGAGAGAGGGAGACGTATTTCATATACAGGGCTAATAATTTCCAGTTTGGTTTTATTGCATCATGTGAATGGAAGCTCCCGCAGATCTGTACCTCTCCCACCATGATCCGTGAGCACCCCCGCACCCCCAGAAAGGACGCGGGCAATTGTCTGCGGGGTTTTATCTGCTGGCCGAGCACTTGGTGATTTGCGGGCAGGGTGTCTACCATGGGTTCTGCAAGCTCAGAGAAAACATAAGTGCACCTGTCTATCATCTGTGTGCGAAGCACCGTCCCAACGCCCGCAGCTCGGCTGTTCTGCAGGAATTACTCTGTGCTGTGAGGGAGGATCTTCTTCATGTTGACAAAATGCAGTGGCCGCCAGCCCCCGTTCACAGGGTCAATCGCGTCCTCCATGCTGAGCCTTTTGGGGGTCAGGAGTTGCTCTAACTCTCTCTCTCAATGCCCTTGAAGGATCTGCCGCATTTAAAGGATGAGTAGAAAGGGTAGCATTTGCCTGGCTGGTGCTGCTCAATCGGTTGAGCATTGACTCATGAATATAGAGGTCACCGGTTCAATTCCCGGTCAGGGCACATGCCTGGGTTTTGAGCTTTATCCCCAGGAGGGGGCATGCTGGAGGCAGCCCATCAATGTTTCTCTCTCATCATTGATGTTTCTATCTCTCCCTCTCCCTTCTTCTCTCTAAAATCAATAACATATTTTTAAGAAAGGGTAGCATTCCACATTACAGAAGAAATGCCCCCAACCAGTGTGGCTTGCCTGCTGCCCCAGGAGAGCACCTGGGCTCAGGGACAGAACAAGAGTAGGCAAATGAATGAACAAGGCGAGAGGTGCAGGTTCCAACATCCCAGCTGCTGCGTGGAGGTGGAGCCGGTCCCCCCGGGATTCTGGGGTGCTGGAGACCAGGAAAGGTGTGGGGCTCCGCATGAGCTGGGAGAGTCACGCTCTGCTCCCCTGTGAGTCGCCGTAGGCGTGCCTGCCTCCTGAGAGTAGGGTCCTTCCTCTGGCCTTCACTCTTGCTGCTCACCGACCAATGGTGTAGGAAGCCTGGGTCGCGCCCTGGCTTCACCTGTGATTGTGTGGCTTTGGGCCAGTCAGTTCACTGCTCTGGGTATCCCTTCCCTCATCATGAGACGCTATTTCAGGCTTCCTCCTGCGTCCACGTGGAGTTGTCTCTGAAACTCACTTGTCAGTGAGGGGCGTTGCTCCACGGGGCACAGAGTCCCCAGCTCCGTGGCACAAAGAGCACAAGAAGGAAAAGCCAGCAGATTCCTGGACCCTCTTCAAAGGGCGTCCCTACTGCTGCCCAAGGTCCCTCATCCCCTCGAGAGATCTGATGCTGATTTATTTCTAACTGATACCTAATGAGAGAGCCCTTTGCCTGCCCCGATTTTTTAACATTTAAGAAATTGTACTTTGTTTATTGAGGTCGTATCCTTGGAAATGTTTAGACGGGGAAGCGCCGGCTGACTGCCATGTCTTTGATCGTATTCCTCTTTCTTGCAGGAATTTTTTTTTAAATGTTCAGCACACCCGACCTCTGACAAAGAAACATCAGTAGCTTTGAACCTGATCACAACCAACAGCCGGGGCATCACCTGCATCACGTGCACCGACATCAGGTGAGGACTGGAAACACTGTCACACACACCTCGCTTTCCCAACAGCCCAGCCTTCCCAGGGATTCTCTCTCCTGAGGAGAGTCTGCTTGACTTTGACACTGTCCGCCTCACGTGGGTATATTTTAATGGAGAAGACTTCAAAATGCCAAATCCTTGCATTTGCAGCTTGCTCAGTAGTCAAGTAGGATCCTAGGATATAAATGAGATGACTGCTATCTCAACACGGACTCAGGCACAGAGATGTTGTCATGGGTTCATGCATAGGATGTTGTCATGGACTCATGATAGGGATGTTGTCATGGATTCATGCATAGGATGTTGTCATGGATTCATGCATAGGATGTTGTCATGGACTCATGCATAGGATGTTGTCATGGACTCATGCATAGGATGTTGTCATGGACTCATGCATAGGATGTTGTCATGGACTCATGCATAGGATGTTGTCATGGACTCATGCATAGGATGTTGGCATGGACTCATGCACAGGATGTTGTCATGGACTCATGATAGGGATGTTGTCATGGATTCATGCATAGGATGTTGTCATGGGATTTCATGCATAGGATGTTGTCATGGACTCATGCATAGGATGTTGTCATGGACTCATGCATAGGATGTTGTCATGGACTCATGCATAGGATGTTGTCATGGACTCATGATAGGGATGGTTGTCATGGACTCATGCATAGGATGTTGTCATGGACTCATGCATAGGATGTTGTCATGGACTCATGCATAGGATGTTGTCATGGACTCATGATAGGGATGTTGTCATGGATTCATGCATAGGATGTTGTCATGGACTCATGCATAGGATGTTGTCATGGACTCATGCAATAGATGTTGTCATGGACTCATGATAGGGATGTTTGCATGGACTCATGCATAGGATGTTGTCATGGACTCATGCATAGGATGTTGTCATGGACTCATGATAGGGATGTTGTCATGGACTCATGCATAGGATGTTGTCATGGACTCATGCATAGGATGTTGGCATGGACTCAGGCATAGGATGTTGTCATAGACTTATGCATAGGATGTTGTCATGGACTCATGCATAGGATGTTGGCATGGATTCATGAATAGGATGTTGTCATAGATTCATGCATAGGATGTTGTCATGGACTCAGGCATAGGATGTTGGCATGGACTCATGCATAGGATGTTGGCATGGATTCATATGTAGAGATGTTGTCATGGACTCATGCATAGGATGTTGTCATGGACCCATGTGCAGGGATGTCATAAATCCCTGCATGAGCACACCCCAATACTCTACATCAGTCGTTCTCAACCTTGGCTGCACATTAGAATCACCTGGGAATCTTTTTAAAATCCTGATTTCTGGGTCTCATCCTCCGGAAATTCTGTTTCTTTGTTATTGGGTGGGGCCACACATTAGTAACAAAGAAGCAGAATTTCTGGAGGATGAGGCCCAAAAATCAGGATTTTAAAAAGATTCCCAGGTGATTCTAAGTGCAGCCAAGGTTGAGAACCACTGCTCTACATTGTGCTTTGCTAATTGTGGGTGTGTTTTTTTTCCTGCTAATGCTTTATATTTTAATTTAGAAATAATTCACTCACAATAAAATTTCTTAAATGTTAGGAAAATTTACCCTTATGGTTAGTAAGATTTTAGTTTAATTCTTTCCAGTATCTTGAAAAGCCTAGATATTTGCATGTACATATGGGGTGTGTGTGTGTGTGTGTGTGAATGTATACATGCCTGCTGTATGCAATCATGTTATATATAGTTTTGTATCTGCCTTTTCCATTTAACATGGTATCGTGATAAATTTTCCCTGCCATGAAATATTTTATGAAAACAAGGCGTGTGATTTTAATAAGCATCTAAGATTCCATCACATGGGAATGCTCTATTTACTCCTTTCCCCATTGCTAGTAATTTAGACTATTTCCAGTGCTTTTTAAAAAATGTACATATTAAATGAAGTAAGGCTGAAGTCTAAAGCCTTTCATGTGCTTTGAATGTAAAGGCACAGTCATAGAAATTGGCCTCCGGGTTCCTCATAAAATCCAGGAAACTGAAGTAGGAAATCGGCAAGGCCCTGACCGGCTCTAAAGGTGGGAGCCGCGCTCGGTCACAGCTTTAAAGCGATCCTGTCATTTGAGAAAACACTTGGTTGTGGGTCCCGTCTGCTAGCAGGTACAGGAGTAACAGAGAAGGTTTTCGGGGCTCCTGCTGTCCAGACCACACCCCAGTGCTGGTTAACATGCGAAAACATGTAGAAGATAGATGTGCCATGCATTTCCAGATGCTGGCGAAAATTCCCTTCAGTGTGTGAAAGGAAAACACTATTGGGAAGTGAGATACAAAAACAGTTCACAGCAGAGAGAGCCGAGAATCACAGAGCCCGGCCTGTCCATGTGCTCTGCCAGCTACGGGCTGCCTGTAGGCAAGGCCAGGCTGACGGGGTACAGACGTGACCAAGGCCGCAGTCCCACTCGTGTCTCTGCAGCAGAGGATTTAAATTAGTGTTTCTGACCTGAATTAAAGCAATTCTGCTTCATGCAATGCAACAAGCAGAAAACAGATTCTTTTTACACTAGAGGCCCGGTGCACAAAATTCATGCACTGGCAGGGGGCGTGTCCCTCAGCCCAGCCTGCACCCTCTCCAATCTGGGACCCCTCGGGAGATGTCCAACTGCAACCAGCAGTCCGACATCCCTCTCACAATCTGGGACTGCTGGCTCCCAACCACTCGCCTGCCTGCCTGCCTGATTGCCCCTAACCACTACTGCCTGCCAGCATGATCACCCCCTAACCACTCCCCTGCCAGCCTGATCGATGCCTAACTGCTTCCCTGCCAGCCCAGTCGCCCCCAACTGCCCTCCCCTGCAGGCCTGGTCCCCTCCAACTGCCCTCCCCTGCTGGCCATCTTGTGGCTGTGGGCACCACCATCTTTGAGGGCATGGCAGTCAATTAGCACATTCCCTCCTTATTGACTGTGGGCGCCGCCATCTTTGAGGGCGTGGCAGTCAATTAGCATAGTCCAGGGGTGGGCAAACTTTTTGACTCAAGGGCCACAGTGGGTTCTTAAACTGGACCGGAGGGCCGGAACAAAAGCACAGATGGAGTGTTTGTGTGAACTAATATAAATTCAAAGTAAACATCATTACATAAAAGGGTACGGTCTTTTTTTTTTTTTTAGTTTTATTCATTTCAAACGGGCCGGATCCGGCCCGCGGGCCTTGGTTTGCCCACGGCTGGCATAGTCCCTCCTTAGTGGCCGTGGGCGCTGCCATCTTTGCAATGGCGTGAGGGTCAATTAGCATATTCCCTCTTTATTAGATAGGATGGAACACTCTCTTCTTAAAAAACCCTCCTGAATTTAATGGAATTTTCCAAAACTGAATAAGATAAAGTAAATTTATCAGCAATCAACAAGCCTTAAAGCAATATTACGAATAAGGAGGAGGTTAAGGCGATATTAGGAATAAGGAGGTTAAGGGGATATTGGGAATAGGGAGGAGAGTTAAATTTCTGCGGCCAACTTATAGGGTCCAGGTCCTTCAGCTGTATTGTTGACGGTCAGTAACTTATGCAAAGAGAAGGACTGTTTTATCAACACTGATGCTCTGAAATGTGAGCCCGTGCCAGTGGGAGACCTTCATTTCCCCGGAGTCCACCCCGAGATTTCAGGTGTGAGCAGCTGCACCTTCCTGGAGACATTGCAGGGGCCTCAGCATGAAGTTCACACGCTCACCTCTTCCTTCAGCGGTGGCTGCAGGTGCCCAGCAATCCACCCCGACCAGTTCTGCGGCCGTTAGGTCAGCCTGGCACGCATCCCCGCCTGGGTCTCAGCGGTTCATTCTCTGAAGGTGGATGCTCAGAAGCAGCTGTATCTTTAAAGCCTTTCGGTGGCCCTCACCAGGGCTGGTGACAGGGAAGCCTTATTTTTATGGCCTATTTTCAATGGACGTGAATGCCCACAAGTCTTGGTTATTTCCTTTATTTTATTGAAAAGCCTTTAAATAGCTCATTTTACTTTAAATAATATTGTAAGTGACATGTGCATTTGTTTCTAATTGCAACTTAATCCTTGTAATTAGCAATTGATGATCAACTTGGTGAGGAGAGGACGTTATTTTCATTGCAAATTGTGTTTGCACTGGTTCATGTCCTCAGATTGCAAAGTGCCGGGACATTTGGTAGCGGTGGGCAATGGTGTGATCTACGTGGCGCTCTGAAGACGTCGCATGTGTAGCAATTATTTCCCGTGACATTCAGAATCAAGTATTTACAGATTTGTTCTTCGTGGCTTCCAAAACTCACAGAGCTGTTTGCAGCCAAATCAGCAATAGTCTCAGGAACCCAAATGCAAGTAAATTATTCACTGAAGCAAGGCTCATGGTGTGTGCATTCTGTTTCTTATTAATTTGGCAAATTCTGCGTCAGAAGAACAGAGCCTCGAGCCGTTTCTGACGTGCAGCGGGAATGACATTTGAGCGTTTCCGGGTCCAGGCCCAGATCATCCCGCACTAGGAGCTACTTACTGTGGGGCCATGGTAGTGCTCACGCCCTAACATCCACACGTTCATGTGCAGAAGTACCTGCATGGGCACCAGCCTCCGCCAACAGTACCACGGCGTGGCTGTTTACGCAGCACCTGTGAACTTTAGCACCTCTGTCATCAGAGATACCTTAAACAGTCAACCAATATGCCCTGGCCAGTGTAGATCAGTGGTTAGAGCATCAGCCCATGCACAGCAGGGCCTGGAGTTGATTCTCTGTCAAGGGCACATACTTGGGTTGCAGGCTCGATCCCCTGCCCCAGGGTGCATGCAGGAGGCAACCAATCGCTGTCTCCCTCTCCCATTGATGTCTCTCTCTCTCTCTCTGTCTCTCTCTCTCTCTGTCTCTCCCTCCCTCCCTCCCCTCTTCTACTTTCTCTAAAAATCAATGGGGAAAATATCCTCAGGTGAGGATTACAACAACAAAAAAGCCAACCACCGGTTCACTCAGCAGATGT